CATATTATCTGAAACAGAAACATGTATAATATTGTCATCCTTGGTCATTAGAAAGTAATAGGAACGAGATTACCTAGTTAAAATGTTATTTCTTCCCTAGGAGTGATTGAGCAGGATACACTTTATAGTTAAACTGGAGTTTACTGGTTAAGATTAGATTTATGCAATACTCAATTGAAACTTTAAAACCTAGTTAGTATTTTGGAGTTAGAAACTTAATTTCAATTTTAAATAAATTTAATTATATTAGTTTTTAATATTTTAAATAACTCAATAGTTATTTACTAACAAGAGTCACTAAAATTCAATTGTTTTTTTAGTTTTTAATATTTTAAATAAAAAATATTGTCACTAACATTATGTTACACCTTCCAAAATTGTTATATTGTTGCTGAAACTTAGTCAAGGGAGGAGAAAAAACACATACGTATACCTCTCTGTTGCTACATGACATGGCAAGATATAAGACAGTGTTACTGTCACGGTCCTTGGAATTGACCAAATCTTCATCACCAATAAACTCCAGTAATTTTTTTAGAACTTTCGGGTAATTGTATTTGATGCAAAGGTGTAATAAGATAGTCTCATCCCGTTCCACCCTTGTCAGAACTGCACAGAGGCTGACTTCCACCAGTTCTTGTAACATACCTACCTTGCCCTTTATGGCTGCCATGTGAATAAGGGGTTCGACCTTCTCTATCATGTGCCATATCTCTAGAGCCACTTCTATCAGTTCTTTGGCAACATTCACAGCCCCGTGGCAGCTACCAGGTGAAGTGCTGATCGATCCGAGTCTAAGACTTAAGTCAGCTTGGGCTGCAAATTTATCAGCTCTCTCACAAAATTAAGATATCCAAAAGATGCCGCCACATGCAGAGGACTCTTGTTGAAACATTCTCCAACTACAAATTTATCCTGAATCAATTTGTCGCAAGCAACTGTGGCACAATGAGTTCACATCCCTGTGACTACTACGGCATTGGGTCCCTGGTCCATAGCTTCCATTTTCATTCTATCTGCCCACCCACAAGGCTCAAAAGCCACGCATCTTAAATTGATAATGCACGTCAACCTAATTGGTAATCTGGTAGTAAATTAATGCAAATTATTCGACAGCCATTGGTGCCGGGCTCTGTAAGGCGACAAGTTCATAAATGTTAACAAATGTAAAAATGGACGCGATGTGCGAGTTAGACATCGCCTGATTTTGGAAAAATGGCGTCTCATATTTGGATGCATCTCCATGTCAGAGTGTCAGAGAAAGCTATGAGATTTTAATTTTTTATATTTGTAGTGGCATTTGTTTCTAATTAGGGAACAAATTAATTTTAAATTTTACCATGGATATTCCTGGAAGATTCCAAGTAGAAACTATGACGTGCGACTTCTTTTGTGCATTCGGAACCATGCTCGCGGACTAGCCGGCTCGAGTGGAGGATCACAAGAGACAAAACTAGTAAATTTTTTTTTTCTCGTTTGGATTTCACATTAGCGCTAGCTCTCAACTGCATTGTCATCTTCTCTCAATTTCTTCACCTTCATCGGGTCATTGTTGAAGCTCCCTGCTAGCCTCGTGTGTATTCATCTGAATCTATCATTTCTTGAGTGATTTATAATGAATCCAAAACTCCGTTGTACATCTATTTTATTTTGCTTACTATCGGACTACATCAGATATATCGTATTTTAGACCTTCAGTTTAACATCATAGCAAAGATATAATTGGCACTTTCTCAGGTATTTAGGGTGATTTGTCAGTCTTGTCTTGGACATGAATACTCCATCTGTTTCTTAAATTTTATTCCCAGTTGTGTTCCCTAGATTTGGTTAATGCATTGTCAAAATTTTCTCACATGTCAGATGTTCTTGGGGTAATGTTGCTTTTTTTTTCCTTTTTATTCATTTATTTTATTTTTGTTTCTAAGTACCAGCTGGGCAACCATACCTCAAAGTTTACAGAGGAAGAACTTGACACCCATAACGCTAGCTTGGAAAGAAGGAAAATCAGAAATCATTGGTGGCTAGCAGATTATATTCCACAAATCTTGCATGTGTAAGTGATTATTGCAGTGACATGTCGACATTTTGCATGTTGGAAATGGTTGATTGTGGTTTTAATCTCTTCTACTTTTGTTTGGGGATAATATGTGGTTGTTCCTAAAGCATGGCTAATCTTGCATCTACCAATTGGTACAAATTCCCTTGCCTTTGCTTCTGAAAGCGAAGGTACTGCTTGTTTTTTCATAATGGAATCATGAGCAGGAAAACCCATGCAAAATGAAACTCAAGCCTCTAGTAGCATCAATCATGTTGTATTTTAACTCTTAATATGCATAGACATGTGGAGGAATGTGTAGAAGTGGTTTTAAGATGGCTACAACCTCACCCAGCATGGGAACATCTAATTGCCTTACCACTTTCAAAAAACTTATTTTGTTCTGATTGCTAGACTGACGTAGAAAAGATAGGAAGAAACCCTTTCTATGTCCCATGAAAATATTGTAGAGGGTCATTAGGTGATGAATTCATTTTTCTTTTCCTTCAAACTCTAAAACTTGAAACAATTCTACAAACTACCAAAAGATCCTCCCAAATCAATTTGAATTTGGTTGAACAAAGTTACGTTCATGTAATCTTAAAGTTACACAATTTCTTTTAATAGTATGAGTTGGACCCATTGTACTTGTATAAAGGCATATTTTATTTTGCAACTTATTATTATGTGATAGAAAATAATAAAATATTGTTCTTATATGTATAGTAATTAATATATTATTATTAAAATTAAATTACTACGGCTACGTATATATAATTAGGAATCAGTTTTCACAAGTCATTCTACTCAAATTAAACCATGCAATGAGTACATATGCACACATATGCTATTTCTGGTAGCATAATAAGGTAAACATTTTGGATTAAATGGACAATATGGCTTCCATTGTCTCTGCTCATGTGATTCTTCTGTTCTATTCCAACCGGTGGCTTGCTAGTGCCTACGTCTAATGAAAATAAAGAAAAGGAAAATTGTAGTCCCCCCAGCCAAATATTCAACTAGCGCCAATACAACTTTGGTAACGATTTTTTTTTCTGTGGTTTCTCGGTGTCAACCAACTAACGGAAATGGAAAAAGTAACTCCCATACAAAAGAGTGCGTACCACATCAAAATTGACCTAATCCACTTGATTTTCGTGTTCCAAGATGGGAACCCACTCATCTCCAAGAATATAACTCCATAAGCTGCAATAAATCCAACCGTGGCAGCACCAATGAACAATGAATACCTATTTGGATAATGGTAAGCCATCACAGATTCCCCAGCCCTATGCGTCAGAGAGTCATTCTGCCAAACTCCACCCGGGGGGTTGACCACAACCTGAAATGCCACTGTCGCTATAATTGATGCTGCAAGCATTAATCCCTCTTTCATGTTCTGATTCAGCCCAAGTTCTAAGGTTTGAAATGTCCATAATTTTCTTTTCATTTTCTTACGTAGTAATGCTACTATCTAAAACAAAAAGTAATAGGAAAGAGGTTGGTGGAAAGATATCGACGCTATTACATAAAATAGAGCCTAATGTCATTATTTGTTGTCATCATTTTTATTCACTAATTGATTAAAATTAAATTTATGATTACGTTACTTGTGATATCATGTGAAAATTGAAGAATCAGTTGTACCATATCATTTCACAAATAATTAAAGTAATTAACTTAGTTTGTGATTTTTTTTTTTTTTTGTGAGGGACAGAAAAGAGAATTCATTAAAAATGCCTGACCCGACAAGGCCCAGTTTAAGAAACCGAATGATATAAGTTTTCTAACTGGACAAAACGTCTTTTAAAAAAGTAATCAATCCAAGGTGATATTTTTTACCCCTTCTTTAAATATTTTTTAAACTTAACAAATATAAAAATTAAAATTTTTATAACAATATTTTTATTTTCTTCAAAAAAAGAAAGAAAATTTTAAAAAGAAAATATTGTAGAAAAAATAAAATGAGAAAAAGGAAGAGAGAAAATCTTAAAGAGAAAAAGTTGAAAACAGTTTAGTAAGAGAAAGAGTTATTAGAGTGAAAAAGTTAAAAAAGTTTAAAGAGGTAAAGTTAACATAAATTTAAAAAGAAAAAGAGATGGAGAGAGAAATTTGAAAAATTAAGAGACAGAAAATTATGGTGAGAAAGTTGGTAAAATTAAAAAGCAGAAAGAGGCGGAGAGAGAAAGTTAAAAAAAAATAGAAAGAGCAAACTGAAGAAAAATTAGAAAGAAGAAATAGTGAATTTTAGAATAAGGAAGTTTAAAAAAAAAGTACAAAGAAAATTATAGATAGAGAGTTGAAAAAATTTAAAAAAAGCGGTATAGAAAGAAATTGGAAAAAAAAATTAAAAAGAAAAAGAGCTAGAAAAATAAATTTTAAAAAAATTAGAAAAAGAATTAAAAAGGTTCAAAAAATTAGGGAAAAAAAGAGTTAAAGATAGAAAATTTTTAAAAAGAAAAGGTTAAAAAAATGGGAAGATCCAAATTTATATTTAATGGATTTAGACATCATGTTATCGGCTAAAATCTGGAATCGCCAAAGTTGGCTCAAATACTAATTGTTGACAGTGCAATCGGTACTTTTAAAACACTATGAACGAAGACCTTTCCAATCTAAATTAAACAAAAAATTGATTTCTTAAATAATGTGTGGTGTGAGGAAAGAATTAATGAGGCAACGACAATGTTATTGTGAATAATATAATTAATAATAGTAAGGTGTTTAAAACTTTCACTTGCCTCCTGTCTTCCACGAGACTTAGCAAGCTCTAAGATGGTTTGGCCGTCGGCATCCATGGCACAAGTGAACTCCTTATATTCGATCAGGTCCAGCAACTTACAGAGAGCCTGCAGTTGATTGTACCTAACACAAAGATGTAGGATGGTCTCGTCTCGGTCCACCTTGGCAAAAGCCGCCTCCGGACAAGCTTGGAACAACTTTTCTAATATACTCACTCTCCCATTTATTGCTGCAATATGAACAGGATTTCGACCTTCTCGATCATGCACCATGCACATATCAGGGCTGCATCTACCAATTTTCTCACAATATCAAGGGCAGTAGCAGCCTTTGCTAAGTGAAATGACGACTGACCGGTGGAGTTCGAGACTTGACCGGGCGTTGCTATAGGTGATTGACTTGTGGAGTTTGAGACTTGAACGGCCCCTGCTAAGTGAGGTAACAACTGACCTGCAAGGTGTGAGACTTGAGAGGCTGCTACTACCCACGACTGACCTATGGAGTCTAAGACCTAGGCAACCATTGTTAAGTGAAGTGACAACTGACCTGCAGAGTCTGAGACTTGAACGGTCGGTGACGGGCCTGTGGAGTTTGAGACTTGAGCAGCTTCGGCTAAGTGAGAAGACGACTGACTTGAGGGGTCTGAGACTTGAGTGGCCGCTTCTACCGATAACAGATTTGCAGAGTCCAAGATATGAGCGACTGCTGCTAAGTGAAGCGGTGACTGACCTGCAGAGTTCAAGACTTGAGCTAGTTTAGGTTGGAGAAGTAGCAGCTCTGTCACTAAATCCGTGTGCCCATGCGATACAGCCACATGCAAGGGAGTCCAACCAAAGCATGGCACCGCAAACTTATCTAAAATCAGCTTGTCATCTTGAAGTATTTTGCGCAATGACTCCACGTCCCCACTGATTGCTGCCTCACAAAGTCTGTTCTCCATGGCTTCCATTATCTCTGTCTCCACAACGTTATTTGTTTACATATTCATATATATAGACAAGTGGATATTTTCTTTACTTGACTTGATAGTTGGAGTCAACAGAATCGAATTTTTGAGGGTATATCACAGTTTGCCTTTACCAATTTTGTCATTCATTATTACCCTTTTCTCATTTATTTTTAACTCTCCACATTACTGACTAATTGTTTCTTGTAGTTTTCAAGTAATTTTAATTGTCAACTTTTATTTAATAAAAAAAAATTTGTTCAAGTTTTTTTGAGTTTCTAACCTTTTTTTTATTCCCTGTACGGTAAAAATTCAGTTTTTTATAATGTTTGATTTGTCAGAGGTTGGTTTTCACCACGAGAAACTAGCAAAAAAATTTTTAGAAATTTCCTTGTTGACTGCTTCCAGTCAACTGCGTTGTTGCCAAGCAATTTCCAAGTATCCACCTAGAAGATCATAAAATGCCACGTTGTTTTTTTGGGCAATTGTTAGGTGGCTTTGACCATGGGGAAACGGAAAGATCTGTGGCACGAACGCGCACAGAAACCACACATGTTGGACTTCTTTCAACTTGGAATTATTATTTAAAGACTTGGAAAATTTTATATTAATACAATTATGGTATTAGAATTAATATTTAAGCACTTGGAGAATTTTATATTAATGCAGTTATGGTATTGGAATTATTATTTAAAGACTTGGAGAATTTTATAATAATACAATTATGGTATATTTATGAAGCTCTTCATGGTCATCTCTAACAATATTAGTCATTTAATTTCTTAATATTTGTAACGAGAAACACAACTATATTCACCAATCTTAAATTAATTATAATTAAGTTTATATATAGATAAGTAGCTCTAGGTATAGATGGTAGCAAGATAAAATAAATAAAATAGTTCAGAAAAAGAGTTATAGAAAGACACAATAAATTGTGTAAACATAATTTATTTTATTTTATTTTAAAAAAGACTAAATCATTTAAGCAAAGCTCATTAAGAGTACTCCATTTTTTTTTTTGTTGATATTAATTAGAGAGCAAATATAAGAAAATGATTAATAAAATATCCAATTTTTTAAAACAAATTAGAGTATGTGTATGTAAAAAATGGCCAAAATCCAAATCCACATATAACACGATAATATAATAATATGTTTCACAGACTTAGCAATATATCCCCTAAAATGCTAAATATAAATGAATTATACGTATAATTGAGAAAAAATAAAAGTAAATCGTTCCGAGGGTTTAGGCTTTTGTTATCGGCAAATGAGCAAATTGGTTTTAAAAAATGTAAATCTTCTTCCTCATTGCTTGGTTAGGTAGTACTCTCTCTCCTCCTTGTACAAAACGCCCACTCCAATCTTGACTTCAATTTCATTGGGTAATTTGGCATTAAGTTATCGCAAGTCCTTAACCAGTCATTCGCCGCCTGAACCATATAGTGACAAGTGTATAAATGTTATAATATGTAAAAATGAAAGCGATACACGGAGAAGACATCACCTCATTTTAGATGCATCTCTATATTAATTTCAGAGAAGAACGCAAAGATATGCTTTAATTTGCTTGCACAAACATGCCATGAGATTTTAATTTCTTTTAACGCAAAGATGTTTAGTAATTTAGACCTTTTGGTCGTGGCGGCCATTGTGTTTTGCTGACTAGCCGTTTGGTCCGTCCTCCTGTTCGAACGATCATAATCACCGTCAAAGCGTGAAATTGCAGTTGAACAAAATTATCAGAGGCCATCTGTCACCAGGTCAGCAAAATTTTTAAATTTTTCATCTTTAAATAAATTCCGAAACTGATTTATTTTTCACCAGAAAATAGTAATACTTGTCTGTGTTTCCGCTCTTCAACGGAACGACATGTTTCGATCCTCTACTTGGGCTTAGTACGCGCTACCACGCACCTACAACTCTGCTCTCACGCGCCTGTACGGTCGCCACTCGCACGCGCCTGTTGGCCAGGCTCCGAGCGCCCGTTGGCCAGGCTCCGAGCGCCCGTTCAGCGTTCACGTGTCGCACGCTCCCTGAATTTCCTCCTGCGCATTGACTGCTTGCCGTCCCTGTCTTTGGCATGCGCATATGGCCCACGCGTTTTCTACCTCTCTTCTCCTTCCCCGGCGTCTGCAACTGGACGGTAAAGTCGCCGAGCAGCACCAAACCTAGTAAAAACACACCAGAAGTACTCGAATGGGAAGGAGGATGGAGAAGAAGAAGCACAGCCCAATTTACGGGATACCCTCAAATTTTCCCAACCTTTCATCAATCTCGTATAGATTATGGAAATGAAGCCTCCAAATCGGCAAGTCTCTCTCTCACTCTCCGGTCGGAAATTCACATAATCACAGGGGTTTTAGGCTCTAATGTATAGCCCTCACCGATCCCCTTGATTCCCTCTGTTCTCGAATGACATTCCCACCCGATAGAACCAAATCCTAGCACTTGATCCTACCTCTAATTCTGGTTTGATTCTCCGCGAATTTCCCCTGATTTCCTCTGGTTTTGAATCCGGTCATCTTTGTGGCTATCAGGCCTAACCGCATCTTGTTGGTTTCCTTTTGAGCTTATCAAGTCATCGACTTCATCCATTCCGATATCTCCGCAACAGGATCTGGGTTCAAGCGCCTGCTCAATCTTCGTCCAACTGAAGCTTCGATCTCCTTGCCTCAGATGCCAACGACCCAGATAAGCTTTGTCGAACTTCTACGCATCGTACCACGATCGAGCTCACCTGTCACTATGGTGCACTTTCCCGTCACCTTCTACCTCGCGCAACTCTCCCTTGCTGGTCATCGGAGTCGGACGAGGCTTCCAGGGTCCCTACCTTCCCCGCTAGAAGATCCTGGGGCTCAGGCTCGCGAAACAGCTGACCTGGTTGTCTCCCCTTCGCCCGACCCGTTTCTCTTGGGACCTGACTCTTCTGCCCAGCTGCCCTTTGTTTCCACCCGCTTGACCCCGGCCCATCTATTCAGCAAAAGCCCAGCGCTTCGGCCCAGTCCACCCCGGCGTTAACCAATTGGATTGAAGTCACAACTAAAACAAATACCAAAAACTCAGTTAATATTTGACTTTTCCAACACTAGCACTGTAAGTTGTGACTTCCATCATCTGAATTCATGTGACCACTGCGTTAAATTATTACCATTTAACAATGATACAAAGAAAAATTGAACAGAAACCTTTCACTAGTTCATTTTAGTCAAGAGTGATATTTTAACGGTAGTAGAAAAAAAGAGATTAATTTATATTAATTTTCCTTAGTTGATCTTAGTCAAGGTTCGTTTCCGTCATTTATATAATGCATGAAGTGACATGTTCACAAAATTTATAATGATCATTCCATTGTAACTCACAGTATTTTCTCTCTTTTATTTTTTTGGGTAAATTCCATAACTCTCACGGCAATTTGTTCTATGTTCTCACAATAGAAGATTTGAGGATAAAAATAATTAAAATAATATAACACTTATAAAATTTATATAAAAATCATAGATTTAACTCACGACCTCTTCTCCATTGTTATTTTAGTCTTTCCCAAGGAGATAAGAATTACAGCTGCTGTTTCAACTTTCAGCTTCCGCCCACAAACTCTTTCTCTCTCTCAACCCCAAAAATAGTGGTTGTTTTAAACATCACAGCCTATATATAAAAGAGGGAGATTTTCGTTTTCTTTTTCTTTTCAAAATAAAACAAATGCAGAGCTCGTCGTCCTCGATATAAATTAAGCACAAAATACGGGGACTATTACAAGTTTCCCATTTGTTGACTTGGTGTTATCTCCAAGGCAATCGAATTTATCTGTAGATTAATATTTATAAAATATTTGATTCTTAACTATTATTTTCAATTGAAATTCTAATTTATTCTTGAAATTATCTGCCTTATGTCAATGCTATCAATACACTTTTTGAATACTTTACACATGTGAAAGTAAAATAAAATTTGAATATATGTCCTTATAGAACCCAAAACTTTAGAAATTGCATGGTACGTTTGATTTTGTACAAGTAAGTCCCAAATTGTAAATAGATTCATTGGATTGTACCATGACGTGCGAACATTTCCTCTCCTCCTCTCACCTAGGCCGTCACCATTTTTTTAAAAAAAATTTTCATTCTAATTAGTTGACAATAATAAATGTCTTCACACGCATTAGTCACAAGTTATCAATAGCAAACTTTTACTTAAAAATATTTAAACCTTGTAAAAATAAAAACATAAAACCGAAACAAAAAAGCAAATATTTTACTTAATAATATAAAAAAATTTATATATATAAATATATATACCTACTTTTTTATAGAATTTATGAATAATTGATACAACATATACAATAAATAATAATAACAATTTAGACTAAAATATTCAAACTTAAAGTTAACATTAGTATAAGACCAATAGAAAATAATAAAAATTTAAATTAAAACAACCAAATCACATGCAAAAAATAAAGATTCGAATAGTGTATTGAGTTATAGTAGTTAGTGAAATAATAAATTATGAACTTAAGATTAAAAATATTAACGCGACTAATAAAAGCGTGATTTTACAGTTTCTACTGCTTTTAAAATTAGTATTCACAATATTTTACTTAAAAATTTTTCATGTATTCAAAATGTTTAATGTGAATAAAAGTGTAAAAATGTCTTACACTTTAAGACGTGCTTTTGATAACCATGATTATAAAGTACCTAAATTTCCAAATCTATGGTCACCTTTCCTCTCCTTCATGTTTCAACTAAAATGATATTCTAGACACATACGTCCATTCAAACTCAACATGGGTAGCTATTGAACAAAAATCTTCAATCTATGCATTTAGAAGTCGTTTGGTACGTTGGATCGGATAAGCAGGTGTCATGGCCCAAAACTAGGCCCGTGACCAGCACTAGGGTCCACCGACCCCAGTAAGCTTCAACAAACCAGTCAAGCTCCAAAAATACAAAATATGCACTCAAAGCAGTAATACAACATCTAAGAAACCACCCTGG